GGCCACATCGGCCTCACGGTTGCCTTCAAAGGGCCAAATGTAATTTTAGGATTCTACAAATGTAACTACTCCTTAAGAGTTAAGTGAGAACTGGGCGCTGCCACCGGGTAGAAACAAGGTGCTGGGCTGGGTAAAACGAGGCGGAGGGCCAGATTTGGCCTGCGGGCCTTGTGTTTGTCAGTTGTGCTATAGGTTCTTGGTCTACTCCATTTCCTATACTGTACTTTATATCCCCATTGCTATTGTGTAACTACCTGTTTGTACTTCTTGATCCCCTCACCTCTTCACCCATTCACCTCACCCCCCTCCTATCTAGAAACCATCAAAATGTTTTCCTTATGTATGATTCTTTGTTGTTCTTTGCTTAATTTGTCACTTAGATTTAATTGTATTTATTGCCATTTTATTGTTAATAGTTTAGATTTTTTTTTCTTAAATAAGTCCCTGTAACAGTTCATATAATAATGGTTTGGTGATGATGAACTTCATTTTGTTCTTGTCTGGGAAGCTCTTTGCCCTTTGATTCTAGGTGATGGCTTTGCTGGGTACAACAATCTTGGCTGTACCCAGCAGTTCTAGAGTTGGTGCCTTCAAGATGTTTCTAGGACAGCTCTGTCCAATATAAATATAATGCAAGCCATATATTTACTTTAAAGTTTTCTAGTGGCCACATTAAAAAAAAGTCTGAAAGAAATAGGCAAAATTAATTTTTATAATGTGTTTTGTTTAACCTCATATATCCAAAATACTACCATTTCAACGTGTAATCAATATAAAAGCTATTAATGAGCTATTTTATATTCCTTTTGGTACTAAGTTATTAAAATCTGATGCATTATACTTATACCTCATTTTGGACTAGCTACATTTCAATAATCAGTAGCTTCTTATGGCTAGTGGCTACTGTATTGGACAGCTCAGTTCTATTTTGAAACCTTTGAATTCAGTTTGGTATCTTTATTTTCTAGAGATAAATACTGAAATCACAGACATAAAATATGTTCAATATCTGCTTCAAAATAGAATGTGTACATGAGTAATGGGTTGGACATAAGTTGATAATATTGAAGCTAGGTGGTGGCTCTGTGGCAGTTTATTATACTATTGTGTCTCTTATATTTGCTCAACATTTTTCATAATAAAAAGTAAAAAAAAATTTTTAAAAGACTACAATATTCCATTATGATGTATTTTAATTATTTTTTTATTGTTTGCACTAGGGCACTGCAATTCTTCCTGATCTTACAACATTACTTTTATAATATTTATGTTTTATAGTTTCCTTGTGATAGATTATATGAGTGAAGTTATTGGGTCAAAGATTATGAATATCTTAAAAGATTTTGGTTCATACGTATGAGGGGGCATCCCCCCAAAATGGAGTTATCTTCTGGATGGTGAGCCCTTTGTAGTATAGGCTTCCCCCACTAGGTGAGTGTTCTAGGAACCCATCTGTATCAGTGTACCAGCTGGTGTTATTGTGAGAGGCTGCACCAATTTCAGTGTTTTTTTTTTTTTTAAGACTATTTCATCCTGTTTGCCCATTTCATGATGGGTGATTTATGAGGGCGCCTACACATACCACACTGAGTGTTCAGCAGTTTTTGATCAAAAACAGCATGACCCCTGTGTTCCACCCTCCCTGCTCACCAGATCTCTCCCCTCTTCCCAAAGGACATTTTTTGTTGTTTCCTGGTATGAAAAAAAGTCTCCAAAGGGAAACATTTTGCTAGTGTGGAAGAGGTGAAACAAATGGCAGAAGGACTCAAAGGCATCAAAATTAATGAATTCAAAGACTGTTTTGAGCAGTGTGAAAAACATCTCAACAAGGTATATTGCATCAAAGGGAGAGTACTTTGAAGATGACTGAAGTTTAAAAGTATAAGAATAAATACACAATTCTTAATAAATAAATTCTGGGTTTGTTTTTTTGGGGGGGGTTCCCCCTTGTGCTAAATTGCTTGATAAATTTTAGAAGAATTTAATTGGATTTATAATGGTACTCCTGGAGTGATATTTTATTCAAAAGTTTTAATGAGATAAGGTTTATTATTAAGGATTTTATAATTGGATTATATTTTCTAAGTGTTTTCATTCATACTCATTTTTAATAGTGCTAGTAACAATTCAAATGGAACTAGTTAGTGCTTTACAATTTTATAGAGAGTTTTCATGTCCAGGAGATGGTATAAGTTCACAACCGATCTGTGAGCTATGAATTACAGAAATTAAAAGCAAAATTTAATTATTTGTAATTCCTGTTACCACTAGATGGCCCTCTCAGCATGTAATTTTAAGCAAACGCAGATTTTCCTTGTAGACATTTTGAAGTTCCTCTATAGATCTTATTAAAATACCTTTTAATTGGAGTTAAAAAATAATGCTTTGTCTCAAAACCTGATAAGCTTCTTTAGAAGTAGTAAAGGAATTAAAAATGGAATTTATTACAGTGGGTTTTTCAGTTGGTTTCTCAAGATGAAAGGGAAAACAACTACATGACACTTAATGTTATTATGCATAGTATATTTGCAGTGTGTTTTAAACCTTCATTAAAATACACTGAATTGGATTATATTCTTTATTTGATTATTTGGGTATACCAAAACATTTATTGCCAAGTCTTTATATGGTTTTGTTTAAATCTAATACTGCTTTATTATGAGGATTTAATGTGTAAACAGTAAACCAAGTAAATTGAGGGCTCTTTCTGAAGTGATTGTCCTGTTGGTCATTTTTGTTGTCTTAATGCAGTTGAGTTCTAAGGGTTAGTGCCGTTCTTCTGTGATGTGTGTGGTTCTCCTCAGGTGAGAAACAGAAGTGAAATTGCTACATTTCAGTGTTATTTTAAATTTTACTAATTATCTTGGTAAGAAAATTAGAGCACTAGAGCACCTTTGATTTTGATCTTACTTGCTCTCATGTGTATTTTATTTTTAAATAATTTTCATTTCTAAATTTTATTTCTAAATAATTAGATCCATTACAGCTTTTTTATACTGTATATTTTATATTGCCCCTTTTGCTAACTGGAAGTGAAAATCATAGTTAATAATACCTATCAGCATAATTTCAAAAATTATTATATCTTAATTTTAATGTACAGGAGAAATAGAAGGAAAGCATCTTATAATAAATGTGTATTTCAGCAGGTAAATATTCAGTGGACTACAGTAGGTGTCACAAGGGGTAGTCAAATGGCTGCCACCTATGCACAGAATCAGTGTGAACGTGATAGCTCTGAAAGCATGGTGATACAGTGTCATTTTTTTATGTTGCTGATTCACTCACCCAAGTGGCATTGAGATTGCTGACATGATTTTTCAAACTGGTGAACAACTCTTAGTAAAGTTCTGAATAAAACATAGATTTATAGTATGGTTGTACTTTGGAAAATTTGGGATACATGAATAACTGGAAAATATGTTTTGTTTACATATTAAATTCCAGCCTTAGATATATTCAGTGGAATGTTTGAAATTCATACAGGACATGTGGCAGTTCTTTGCCATAGTGGATTGTTCCTTGACTTGCTGGACCTCTAGTGTCCCTGTCCCTTGCCCACTAAACGCTAGTAGAACCTTCACCCCTCTCCTTCCTGCATCAATCCCCAGAATACCTCCGTATACAGAGTGCCCTCTACCATTGAGACCCACTGATTTAAAAGTATTCAGCTGCTTTAATCTACTACACAGCTGTATGGCTCATGGAATTTTAAAACTACAGTAAGTTAAGTATCCTGAGTACTTAAATATATGTTTTGAATAATTAAAATAATTATTCAAAATTATGGGAGAAATTGATTTGTTCCAATTCATTGTTGTTTTATTGCAGTTCTTATAAGCAGATCAATAAGTTTGCTATTTTAAGTCCTCGATACCCTGCATTTACTTTATCTTTTCCATTCTTCCTTTTTAGTAAGTCAATAGTATATCATTTTCCTTAATGTCAGCATTTCATTATTTAACAGTCATACAATATAATTTGTCTCTTAAAAATCCACTTTATAGATTAGGAAGATAAAATAGTAACGTTGCAGAAACTTTGTAAACTGAACGTAGAATTTCCCATAGCCATACCACTAGTTGTGTATATTTCGACATTCAAAAAATTAGTTTTGTGTCTTTTCACTTAACATGGCATAACTTTTTAATGTTATTATATAACTTCAAAGCAGTTATCTTAAATTACTATATCTTATTCTACCAAATTTCACAATTTAACCATTTTCCTATCTTTAGATTGTTCACGTTCTAAAAATGATTACACACACATACACGGCGCGGGGGGGGGGGGGTCCAAAAAAGCCAGAATGATCTTTTCTGGAGGGTGAGCCCCTTGTAGTACAGGCTTCCCCCACTAGGTGAGTGTTCTAGGAACCCATCTGTATCAGTGTACCAGCTGGCATTCAGCTTCAGTGAATTTTTTTTTGAAGACTGTTTCAACACATTTTCCCATTTTGTGATGGGTGATTTACTAGCGCGCCTGCCCACACTGAGCTGATTGTTCAGCAGTTTTTGACCAAAGCAACGGCATTACCCCCATGCCCCACCCATCCTATTTACCCCGTCTTGCTCTGAGTGCCCCTTTTTTTGTTTTGCTTGAGGAAAAAGATCTCAAAGGGAAACGTTTTGCCAGTGTGGAAGAGTTGAAACAAATACAGCAGAAACACTCAAAGGCAGCAAAATCAATGAGTTCAAAAACTGTTTTTGAGCAGTGGAAAAAATGTCTCAATAGGTGTATTGCTCACGTGGAGAGTACTTGGAAGGTGACTGAAGTTTAAACATGTACGAATAAATACACAATATTTTATAAATACCAGTTTTTTGGGTTCCTCCTCATATGTAGATATATATGTGCATATTCACATATATAATTTATTGATCTGTTTCTATATATTTTTATTTTAGGATAGATATCAGAAGTGGGGCCTTGCATTGGCTCAGTAGGTTCAAACCTTTTTGTAACTTTGGAGATTTTAAATTCATCTATGTTTTGTTTAGATGTCCCTGGTAGATTTGGGAAAGAAGCTTTTAGAAGCGGCACGAGCAGGTCAAGATGATGAAGTTCGTATTTTGATGGCAAATGGAGCTCCTTTTACTACAGACTGGGTAAAGAATGATGGTTACAATGATGTTTTTTTCTTCTTCTCAGTTTTGAGTTTTTTTCAGATAAGAATTTAGTATTGTGTTTATAAGTGGTAAAAAATTTCTTTTGCAGATTTGTTTGCAACTTTAGAATTATAGCTGTTTTTTAAAGGGAATGGTTTATATCATTTTTTGATACTTGATAACCTTACCCAAATATTTCGCTCACAAAGGGTTTTTCTTTTAAACTATGGAGTTCAATAATGGAGGATGAATGTAAAATGTAGCTGCTTGTGATTTAATTTAAAGGTCTTAAAAATAGCCTGGGTACAATTTATAATTCAGAAAATAATATAAAGATTTGAGTTAATGTTATAATTGCTTTTAAAAAGGAAAAAAAGTTTGCATTTTAATTGATACTTGTGAAACTATTGCAAACATGTTAAAAAAGGAAAAAAGGAATGGGAAGTTCTTAGTAACTAGAGAAGACCATTGTGAGGAAGACAAAGCTATAACTCTATTTAATTCTGGGGTTAAATCAAAAGGGATGATTTTGGGAATTCTAGGAGCTAGGAATCTGGATTAACCCTTCCACTAGTAAAAGCTAAGAATTCCAGATTTTTAATTTTGTTGGTTTTGGCTTACTTGTCCTGGGTTCTTTTTTACTTTTATTAAAACCAAAACAAAAAGATTTTTATTGTGGAAAATTTCAAATACATATATCAACCCCTGCATACTCTTAACTTCAGAAATTATCAAATCATGATGAATGTTTTTTCTATGACCCCATCTACTTTATTTTGTTATATATTATTTTAAAGCAAATTCTAGGAATCATTTAATTGCATCCATAAATATTTTAACATCTGTCTTTAAAGATAGATTTTTTTAATTAAATATTTTAAAAATCTTAAGTCCACCCATGAGTTAGAAAATAGAGAGTCTTAACCTGAAAAACCTAAATGGAAGTCAGAACCCAAAGAAATTTTACACTAAGAACATTTGTTGTATTTTCCACCTCACTGGCACGACTTGCTGAAGGCAAAGAACTGAGGCTGCTCATAGAGAGAAGTCTCCTAGGAGAGTCACTCCCCCATAATTCTGGAATCCCAAAGAGATGCACCTTCACTGCAAGGATAAACCAGAAATACCCCCCCTCCCCCACAACACCTGCTTCTGCTTCTGCCCTTGTTGTTAGTTACTGCAAGGAAAACGAACTGACTTGAACCAAGGAACCAAATGGAAAGGGGGAAAAAATTGAAGTCACAAGCCATTCCTTGCACACATTTGTGTCCCGAACTCAAATACTTAGCATTCTGTGAAACCATAAACTGAAAAATGAATTTAAAGTGATCTCTGGACTAGAGATTACCCTAGGTTGCTGGTAGATGCAAATGAATATTTTTTTCTGGAGGCACCTACCCTCTATCCAGGCTTTATATCCACAAATGAAATTCTGAGGAAAATGAACAGTCAAAAATAACTAAAGGGAACAATTCATTTTGAACAATAAACCACTGAAACAACTGACAACAGAAGCAGACTGATCAGGTCTTGAGATAAGATTTTAATTGATTGGGAACTGCTGAAGAGAAAATTTGTAAACTAAAAAGATAAGAAAAACAAAACAAAAAACAAACCAACCCAAAAACCCATCCAGAATGCAGCACAGAAAGCTGTCAGGAGTCATGAAGAGCAGTGTGAGAAAATCTAACATGTCTCTAATCATTAATCCACAAGAAGAGTGAGAATAGGGATTAAATAATTTTAAGGCATGATGTCGAAAATTTTTCCAGGACTGATGAGAAATGGCAGCTCATAGATTGAAGGGGCCCATCAAATCTCCACAGGATCAGTGAAAAATCCGTATCTAGATACATCATAGTGGTACCATAGTGCATTAGGACAATAGGATAATACATAAGGAATTCCCATGGCAGTAATAAAAAGACAAGACAAAGAAGAATGGGAAAATGATTTGATATGCTACTTTACCAAAGAGAAAGTTCAGATGACCAATACACATGAAAAGATGCTCAGCTGCATTAGTAGTTGGGTAAATGCAAAGTAAAAGAATGAAATATTGTATGTTCACCAGATTAGCCAGTAAAAAAAAAGTCTAGCAGTACCAAGCAGTGGTGAAGAGATATGTGAATTGGTATAAACATTTTGGGGGACAGTTTGGCAGTACCTAGTAAATTCAAACATGTGCATATCTTTAGATATTGAACTTCTAAAAACATTTCCAAGAAAAACTCTTGTTTGTATATTTGAGACATGTACGAGACTATTTTTAGCAGCAGCATTATTCATACAAACAAAAAATATAAATAACCCAAATGTTCATCAGTAGATTGGTTAAATTATGGCTTATTCATTCAGTAGACTATTATAGAGCAGAGAAAATTAGTGAACCACACATAAATTCACCAATGTTAGTGAGTCTCATGAACATACTATTAAACCAAAGAAAGTAAGTCAGAAATACATGGAGTATGATACTATTTAAACAAAGTTCAAAATAGGCAAAACCAAAGTTATTATTTAGGGATATATAAGTGATTTAAAAAAAAAACAAAGCATTGTTGAGTATACAAAGGGCCAGTTACATTAGACATTTATTCTAATGTATAGAGAAAAGAAAGGACTGTTAGAGAATCTTCTTTGATCTTTTAGACCTTCCCTGACAAGATACAAGGCTTTTATTGATAATAAGATAATTATTCCCAGGGTGAACGACTTCTGTTTTTGCCATATGTTGTGAGAACACATGCCTTGCTTTGTATTATGACTCTTACTTGTGGTGTGACTTCAGGCAAAAATTGGTAACCCCTTTTACTTAAGTTCTTTTACTGCCAAATGAGGATAGTAATAGTACCTGTGTTACGAGATTAAATGATAATATGTATAAAGGTCTTAGAATAGTGCTTGCCATGGAAAGTGCTTAAACAAAAGCCTTAGTTGATATTATTACAGTGGCGGTCTTAGCAAAGTGCCTGTTCTAATGAACTATGTTGATTCTTTGGGACATCAGTGCCTTGGTAATTAGACTTTCTATGTCTCTAGATGCATGTGATACAGTTCTGATTTTCACATATTAAAGGTTATGCCTCTGTTAAGGCTCCCCTCACTCACATTTTAGTGCTTTCTCTGTGTTTTGTGAATTTGGTGTCAACGTAGTGGCTAGACAATGTGGAACCAGTTTTAGGAGAACTGGGCTCCACTTTGTTTCTGTCCTGACCAACCTTTGGCAAGTACACTTCAGATCAGATTTTTCTCTTGAAAAATGACTGTGTGAACCCGTTTAAAAATATCACTGATGTATTTAATGAACCTATTTTTAAGACCTACAGAACAGTTAAATATAAAAATGTACATTATTACATTTACTTGATATGAATTTCATAGATGAAAAGAAGTTTTATTTGGTTGATGTAAGGAAAAGATTCCAATACAGACTTTGAAAATTTTCTCAAACCTTAATTATCTCTAATTCCTGATGAAATTAATTTTGTTTTGGCTATTTTACCTGATTAAAAAAATAATGAAGAAAGCAAATTTGAGTTAAATGAATTACTTGCCTTTTTCCTTTACTGAGAAGTGTGTGGGAATTCTCGAAGGCCTCTGTGAAGAGAATGTCATAAAGCATAAATTATTTCTTTTGAGTTTCCAGTTACTGTGTAAACAAGTAAATTAATCTGTTTGCTATATCAACAGGAAATATGCAACAGGAAGTAGTAATAGGAGTGTATTAAATGTGACTATAATGTGGATTTCTTTTCTTGTGGTATAGCTGGGCACTTCTCCACTCCACCTGGCGGCACAGTACGGGCATTACTCCACCACAGAAGTGCTGCTTCGCGCTGGCGTAAGCAGGGATGCCAGGACCAAAGTGGACCGAACGCCACTGCACATGGCAGCTTCTGAGGGCCATGCCAGCATAGTAGAGGTTTTGCTTAAGGTATGTGTTCCCTATTTTTGTGCTTTACTTTTGAAAGTAAACCTTCAAAGGTTTCCTGGTTTTATAAAAGGTCAAAGGAAACTAGTTTTATTGAATTTCTACTTTTATTCTCTCATGTTATCTAATTTTTTGTGTGTAAGCATATCAAATGGAAATTACCTTAAAGTTTTTCTTTGCTGGGATAAAAACACTTCTTGGTATGTTCTTAGTTAAGTCAAATAGATGATTTCTTAGACCTCGATCTCTGCCATGGTGAGGGACTACAGTTTTGTCTTACTTAACATAGTTAAAATGCTCATGGGAAAGGATTATTAGGCTTGGATAGTTAACTAACAAACAAATAATGCAAAGGGGATTTTTCTTTAATTATTTAAGTGCCAAAGAGAAAATTCTGAAACAGAGAATAGTAGATTTAGATATTCTTAATCCTTTTTATTCCAGCTTTTAGATCAGTGATTTTCAACTGGTGTGCTGTAAGAATTTTTAAAACATGCAATACTTGATTATTTAGTCAGGGGCACGTCACTGCTTTTTCCTTAGACTGTCAGATTTAAAAATGACAACAGCTGACACAACAGTAGCCACCTGGTGTGAATGCCCTGTCTTGAACTGTAGATACATAGGTCATATAATAGAGTTGTATCTTATTGGTCATGTCACATGATAAGATTGCATCTGATTGGTCAATTCTTTGTACTAGAAATCCTTACGTACAGGTATAGGCCCCTGATTTTTTTAAAAGTCACTTGGGAGCAAAAGGGTAGGTAATTATTATTTTTTGTGAATCAATCAAAATTATCCTGGTTTTTGTCAGATTGGCAAAAAATATATGTTCTTTGATGTGCCACAGAATTTCGGTAATTAAATTATGCCATAAGATGAAACAGATTGAAAATTTCCGCTCTAGATCAACCTGTCCAAAAGAAATACCGTGTAAGCCGCAAATGTGAATCACATTTGCATGTAGATTTTCTGTTTGCTATCTTAAAAGAAGTAAAAAGTAATTTTAATATAATATTTTATTTAACCCAATCATACAAAAATATTCTACATGAAGTTAATATAAAAATTATTAATGAGATATTTTACATCCTTGTTTTGGTGTTAAGTCTTTGAATTCCACTGTGTTTTTACACATACAGCACATCTCTGTTTGCACTAACTGTATTTCAGCTGCTTAGCCACATGTGTCTAGTGGCTACCGTATTGGACAGTGTACCTCTAGGTGGCTCCCTTTGCATTCTTTATATTGCCCTGGTTTTGAAAGCAAAGGATATTTTTGTGTAAACAAGGAACTAAAATTAAAAAGGATTTGGGGAGGAACGCTCATAGTTTTCCTTCACTTCTTAATCTGTTCTAGCCCTTTGTGCTTATAGCTGGGTGACTGAAAAAGTAACTGCTGCTCTTCTAAGAAATTAGAAGGAAAGCATTTAGGAAAGTCATCATGATAGAATATTGGTTAAGTGACAGATGTGTGGTGATCCTGGAGCATATAGATTATTCAACACACACAAAAATGCTCCATCATATTAGTAGCAAATTTTTAAAAGTGGAATGTCTAGTGTTTTCATTCAGGAATTTTTAATATTTCATATTTTTGAGATACCTTATTTTGAAATGTTTTTGTAGCATGGTGCTGATGTCAATGCAAAGGACATGTTAAAGATGACTGCTCTACATTGGGCCACAGAACACAATCATCAAGAGGTGGTGGAGCTTTTAATCAAATATGGTGCTGATGTACACACACAAAGTAAATTTTGTAAAACTGCATTTGATATTTCAATAGACAATGGGAATGAAGATTTAGCAGAGATATTACAGGTAACTTTCACTTCTAATTTTAAGAATGTAAACAAAAGGATCTCTGTCTTGTGGATGATTTGAACTATTTAATTTGTAGCCTTTCATTTGGACTTAGTTATTTTGGACAGGCTATTTCCTTTTTCACTTTCTCTTTATTCGTTACTGTTCATTTTCCTGATTGTAAGATTATAGTGTTTGCACATAACATTAGAAGATTAGATAAGGTGATTATTTCTGTGTTAAGTTCCTGAATTCTCCTTCTAGACATTTTATTCAATTAATTATTTTTGTTGCATACCATAGGGTTTTAGATACCATATGGTATGTCAAAGTCTGTTATACTTTTACTATAAAACGTTTTTTAGCAACCATAATAATGACCCCTGAGTGAATGATGCAGATGCTGTCTTTATCATTCTCTTTGGTTTCTTTTATTTTTCACCATCCTCAGAAAAATCTGTTTGTGAGCATGATTTTATTTATGGCTCTGGGGCAAGTTTTTCTAATAGCCAACATTGCTTCTCTTCAGCCACACAACATTGATGCAAATTATCTTCTTTACTTACTGCCTCTTCTTGCATATCTTCTTGTTATTCTTCCCAATAAAACTCTAGGACCATCTGAAGATATGTTCAGAAAAATGAATTTTTCTAGGTGTCTTCTAACTCTTTCATTCTTAAGAGTACAGTTTAGGGGTCAGGGTTGAAGACGTAGAACATTTAATTGGGAAGGACAAGCTTTATGTATGTAGTGTTATAGATTTCTGAATATAGTAGAGGACATAATTTGATCTAAATAATTTAATTTGTAGTCACAGGGCAGCAGCGTATCTTTCAGCTGTGTGCTGTAAGAGCCTTTCAGACCATTTCTTCACTCATGGGATTGTGCTGCTTTACGTAATGGAACTTAGGATATAAATTTGTACCTTTGGTTTACCACTCTACTCTCATGAGACCATAAATAAAGACACCCATTTGTATTTATGGTTCTTCTTAAATTATAGAATGTTCCTTTATACATTGAAAGCCTGTGCTATATGTTCTGGTTATAAGTCTGAAAACCGTGTGGTGATTTGTCCCCCAGATTGCTATGCAGAACCAAATCAACACAAACCCAGAGAGTCCTGACACTGTGACAATACATGCTGCAACGCCGCAGTTCATCATTGGACCTGGAGGGGTGGTCAACCTAACAGGTCTGGTATCTTCAGAAAGTGCATCCAGGTCATTGGGTAGTGAGATGCATATAGGATAGCTGTTGGGATTTTAAGCTTTAGTACGTACTCATCCTTTTAAGAAAGGACAGTTGAAGAATGAGGGTAAGAATATTTCAGCTACTTTGGTTTTCTTTGGTATGATTGGCAAAAAAGGAAAATTTTATGAGAAATTAATCTAAAGAAAGGTGATATTGCAAAACATACTGCAATATTATCTTTTAAAACCTAATGCTATCCAAGCTTGTTTTTCACAAAACTAATATTATCCAGGCCTCACTTAAGAGTCAAGTAAAGCAAAACAATATCAGATTAAGCTTTTTAAAAATTCAAATCTATTTTCTCTTTTTTCACAGATGAAACGGGTGTGTCTGCTGTTCAGTTTGGAAACTCTTCCACATCAGTATTAGCTACATTAGCTGCCTTAGCTGAAGCATCTGCTCCCTTGTCCAATTCTTCAGAAACTCCAGGTTAGGAAAGCAAGTCACGGGTATACATTACAAGTGGGAGATTTGGGAGGTAATAGAAAAGGCTGCAGCGAGCAGGGCTGAGATGATGGCCTTCTGAGGAGAATGCAGCCAGGCAGGGGGCATCAGCTGCTCAGCTCTAACCGAGTCGAGTCACATGCTCAGTGTTACTGGATTTTGCTTTTTCACAAGAAGCTGAAAACCTGAATTTTAAAAGAATATTAAATCTCGCCAGCTAATTAAAATTAAAAAACAAATCTTGTGGTTCACAGAAAACGTATCTGTGTACCCAGTTTGGCCTTTGTTTTACTAGTCTATGACTTTTAGTATAAATAAAGTATATAGATAAATATACAATATATGAATTTATTGTCTTTCACAACTTTTATTTTTGTCAATCCTGGTAGAATGACATAAAATCTTAATGACTGACAGAACTAGGAAATAGCATACCAAAACCACTATTGGGGGAATGACAAACAGTATTAACAGTTGATTTAGGTAAAGTTTCCTTTTATACTTAACCAAAATAGTGTTTGCTATTATTATTATGTAAGCAAAATGTTTTTTTAATTGGAGAATTAAAAAAACTCCACAAATTATTCTTATTACTATAGTTTAAACCATTATGTATGGACTAATGCTTATAAAATGAAAAATAGTTTGATGTCATTCATTATTTAAATTAGTTTTTCACAAAGTGTGATCAGTAATAACAACACGAACAACAACTACAACAGTTCATTGAATGCTGTCTGTGTGTGCTGTGCACTGTGGTAAATTCTTTACCTAATGATGTCATGTAATCCTGTCCAAAAAGCTTGAAGGTAGATATTACTGCATTTGATTCTTTAAGGTGCTGTTGACTGAAAGATGTATTTTTTTTTTCAGGGGAGAAAACCTACCTATCTCTCTTTTCTTTGTCTTTTTCTCGCTGTCTTTTTCTACAAGCTAGTGATAATAAACATTTATCCATTCTCCAGCTTCTTTAGCATCATAGTCAATGCTTGAATCTAAGCCTTTTATGTCTTCATGTTCTTCTGAATCTGTTAGCAGTTATGTGCATCATCATATTGACATGCTGCTTTTGTAGCCTATTCCTAGATCTCTTTGGCATCTTTGGAATTATATAAGCATATCAAAGAAAATTAACTTCATTGTTGGTTTCTACTTGGTTAAACTTGTCCATATTTGTCTTTATTTAAAGTATATATCTGAAAATTAAATAACTTTTCTTGAAAGTCAGCTGGAAGTTTTGACCTTTAGATCTTGGGCTCCATGAGCTGTTCTTACCAACTTCTCTACCTTCTGTCTTTAAAAATGCTATGTGTGGTCTAGTCTGAGAGAATTAGTAATTTCACTAGACTTGTATTGCATGTGACTTACAATGTTCTATGAACACAGTGATTTTTTTGTTTCAATGCTGTATATCATAGTGGAATCTTTTTGAAGATACTTTTAAGAACTTGAGTTCAAGTTCAGGTGAGTATATTGCGACCAGTGTGAACACCTCAGCTGAGGTGCATAATCAAATAAATTTGCATGTGCTCAGACAAATTATCTATCTGCCTCTTGTCTCTCCAGTTTCTTTTAACAACAGTTGCCAGATTCATCCTCATTTTAGCAATATTTATATATATATTTTCCAAGGACATCTTAACATATGGGAAATAAAGTAGTGCTCCCATTTTATAGATGATGAAACTGAGGATTGTGAAGGTTAAATAATTTTGCCCAAAGTACCATAGCTATTAAGGGGTAAAAAGGTGCTCAACATCTAATCCCAAGTGGTGTCTGTGACTACTATAATATACTGTCTCCTCTATGCAGTTTACCTTGTGGTGATCAGTGGACTGGTCTCTTCTGGAATGTTTATAGATTAGTTTGTAATAGAAATAAATATTTGAGTAATTATTATTTTGTCTTATATCACTGCTCTGACTGTTACTTCTAAGGTGTGTTTGTTGAAACAGTCCATTGAAATAAATGTTCTGCTCCTCTTTTGTCATTATTTTCTTCAATTTTTATTGTATTTTTCCCATTACCATTTAGTCCCTTATATCCCCCTCCTCTGCAATCACCCCATTGTTGTCCATGTCCATGAGTCCTCTTTTGCCCTTTTGAAATGATTGAAGACCAAAATATAAGAACTATCAGTGTACTAACTGGTATTGCTCACATTCTTTACTTTTACCAGCTAAGTAGTACACTAAACACATCTTTTGGACACCAGATAGCCAGAGTATAGCAGCAGATAACGGCATTTGAGATGGAGGCTGGCTGGCTGGCTGACTGCCATGGTCTATAAAGAGAGGGAAGGTACTTGTAATAGTCTAGGAAACCACCCACTTCACTCTGGAACTATGGCTTTAAATAGCACCTTCATGATTACATTAGGGCCATCTTTCACATATAAAACGAATCTATTTTTTGTTTTGTTGTGTTTGACCTAGTTCCCTTTTATTTTTATTTTTTGATTTAATCTTTATTGTATTTTTTTTCCATTACCATAATGGTCGTCCAATGGGAGCCTCATAAAGTGCATTAGTCTGTTATAATGCTCTCATTGTGACACGAAATGATATTACTGTCTTTTCTTGATATTTACAAGCAAATGTAACTGCAAGTTATTAATGCTTGATGATTAGATTATCTCATTGAATTGCATTTTTATTAGTTTTTTTATGTAAATAATTTCAGTTTTATTCTTTTCACATAAACTTTTATTTTGCCAAGTATTTAACTTATTTAAATTTTTAGGTCTCCATGCATAGTTCTTCATGATTCTTCATCTATTTAAAAGAAGTATACAAAAGTAATTTAATAAATCTCAATATACTCTGAAGAGCTTGTTGCTAATGTTCATTTTAAATAAACAACTGGTTTTGTTGGGAATTATATATTTCAGTTTCTGAACATGATAGGCTTTGCTACTGTGCATAGTTGTATTAAATAATCATTTGCTCTACCTGGCTCTAGGCCAGGTAGATGATAAAATGATTTATATTAGTTATAAGTTTAATTTGGCATAATGCAGTATAGAAAAATAATGATTAATATTTATTGGGTTCTTGCTGTATGCTTGTTGCTGTGCCAAGTGCTTTATATACATTACCTCATTTTGTTTTCACAATAGTGATCTGAATTAAGATACAATCATTGACCTTTGACCAAGGTTTAATTTTCAGCTTTAAAGTTTCAGAAGTATTTTGTTAGTGTATCCTGTGGGACTGACTCACAAAGAGCAAACTCATACGAAGGTGATATATAAATCTGAATAGTGTTATTTATTTTTAAGGGAGGCTACAACTTTGTGTTTTTTTTTAATTTATTTAATGATTTTATTTTTTAAATGTATTTATTTATTTTTAGAGAGGGGAAGGGAAGGAGAAAGAAAGGGAGAGAAACATCAATGTGCAGTTGCCTATCACATGCCCCCTACTGGGGACCTGGCCCACAACCCAGGCATGTCTGTTGGCTGGGAATCGAACCAGTGACCCTTTGGTTCACAGGCCGGCACTCAGTCCACTGAGCCACACCAGCTAGGGCCAACCTGTCTTGTTACATGAAATTAACTTACTCATTTTGGAAATTAATCAGTGAAAGAAATTTTAGCATTTAAAAGTATACACATAATTTTTTAAAACCTTGTTTAAAATATCCTTCAGAATTTTGGAGTGGAGTAATTCAAGAAAAATGTCAGGTAGTTCAACATTAATATAATACTCTTCATTCTCTTTTACATTATTAAAACAAACTAGAAGAATTTCTGCTTGGAACGAATTGGGAATTAGCTTGTTACTTTATATACCCAATGATTAGAATGCTGTATTCCTTTAAATGTCTCTAATTCAGGTTTTCTACTAATTTTAACTCCTTTCAGTTAATCTGAGAGTTAATGATAATGGCAACAAGAGCAGGGTTCTTAAATGTTGTGTGAATTAGAATCATCTTAACATGTTTGCCTCAGTTTTGCCATAATGGATTCTGATTGAGTAGGTTTGGCATGGGGCCCTCACATCTGTATTTTTAACAGGTGATTCTGATGGCCCACCACAGTTTAAGAATTTGACCCATATTTTTTCATCTTTATATGTAATTTAATATTCAGTTGTTTATGAGGTGCATAGATGAATCTCTAATAAGGAAAAGCTGTGGGAGAGAAGAATGGCTTTCTTAATAGTTTTAATACTTAAATATATCTAGGTGCTTGCTACTTAATGTTTTTAGGAATTGAGTAATTGAGGAGGAGACTTCAGGTAATTAGGATATAATTAAAACAAAAATATGACACTGATGATCAAGACCAAATTTCTCTTACTGGAGTAGAATGTTGTGTTGAGCACTTTTAATATAAAACAGAGCAGCAGTTTTTCACTGCCAGCAATCCATAGGCGTACTGAGGGTTTGCCTATCTTTAACTTTGCCCATATTTATATATACCGTTATCTAACACATTGATTTTTGTTCAAAAAATTAGAAAAATGTTTTAAATATTTTTAAAAGATTTAATTTATTTACTTTTAGAGAGAAGGTAAGGGAAAAAGAAAGAAAGGGAGAGAAACATTAATGTGTGAGAGATACAGGAATCATTGCCTCTCGCACGCCCCCAGCTGAGGACATAACCAGCAAGACAGGCATGTGCCCTGACTGGGAATTGAACTGGTGACCTTTTGGTTTGCAAGCTGGTGCTCATTCCACTGAACCACACCATCCAGGAGTAGAAAAATGTTTTAAGATTTTGGGAATTCCTATGAAATTGTGTATCTAACAGATGCTGATCAGTGAGCACTGATAAAATCGTGGTTTAAAGAAAATTTATATTATCTCTATTAAAAATGAATTGATTCAGATTACTAAGTGTAGTTACCTACTTAAACTAAGGGAATGTGTGTCTTCTAGTTACCTCTAAATTAAGTAGTTATCTACTATATTTGCTGGAAGTTCACATTGTTAGGCTTGAGACTTTTAGAAATTATACTTTGTTTTGACTGATATTTCAT